AATACACAAAATAAATACATAAAACAAAAAACTTACCTCTTCCAAAAAAGTTACGTAATTACTCGCATGGGGTCACCACTCAAGAGCGCAGCGACGCATCCTTCCACTCCCGTAAATTAGTCGCTATCAAAATACAAACTAAGACGTGTTTTATGAAGCTACCGGGGTTGCGGAGGAAATCGGGCCGCGCCAAGTGCTTCATTTTTGAATCCGAAAATGCTTTGACCCCATGCGAGTAATTAAGGGTTAAGACAAACAAAATACTTTGTGAATGGTATAGGATAAAAATACGTGTTGTTTTGTGATTAGTAGATTTAATTTTAAAAACTACTAACTAAAATAATTTTGAAAATTTGCTAAACATAATAACCTGTTACTTTAATTTCAGGCGGTTCGTGGTGGTATAAAACCAGCTTTTTCCTACGACTAAACTTGTTTAAAACACTATAATTTTCATTTCAAATCAGACTGACTGAAAATGATCATTTTTGACAGTTAATGACTAGTTTTTGACCGAATTGACCGTAAATGACGGTCAGTCAAATTCAATCACTAGTCATTTTCAACCACAGATANGCTTAGGTCTGAATAGGCCTTTAGACCGTTTTCTGCGCCTATATTTCTATGGAGCGTTCCTGATTGAGTCTGTGCCGCGCTGCGCCTATATTTCTATGGAGCGTTCCTGATTGAGTCTGTGCCGCGCTCGGTAAACTTTTGGTACCACGTATGCCGAGCATGTTGATGTCATGCCGCTGCCGCGCCGAGAAGTCAGAAAACGGCCGAAGTTAACCACAGACTACAGAGTTTTTGTCGGCCGATAGTTGGGTCGGGCTGTTGATCAGTCTGGACATGTATGAAAGTGCGCACATTGCACCGATTTGATATCTGCCGATTCTTCATACAAATTAGAATCGGGCCCAACTATCGGCCAACTAAAAGTCGGTGGGCTGCGCCTAGGCTTAAGTAAACCTTGAAAATAAGCAATAAACATATTAAGTATTGAGTATTAATATAATTCAACCATTATGGGGTGAACCAAAATAAAGGTTCAATCACTTCTTCACATAGTCCCATGTCGTTTATAACAAATGTTGCTTAAATGGCAATGCCAGATTTTGTATGGAAGGTGGCGTCTTTTTTTTTTCGCGCGGCCATCGACCGAACTTTGTTTTTTGATTACAAAATAGTGTAATAAACCAAACTTAAAATGGCATGTATACCTCTAAACTCAGTCTGAACTGAGTTACGAACATTAGAAGTTTGATGATTTTCATACTAGATTTGCTTTTTGCGCGCAAGTTTTGTAAGAAATTGCAACAAAATATTGCGCTATTTTTTTATTGCGCTGATTCTGCTCCATACTGATGTCTGGAGCCTATAATGGATAGTATTGTTTGTTTACACATACAATGTCACTATTTTGTTGCAATTTCTTACAAAACTTGCGCGCAAAAAGCAAATCTAGTATGAAAATCATCAAACTTCTAATGCTCGTAACTCAGTTCAGACTGAGTTTAGAGGTATACATGCCATTTTAAGTTTGGTTTATTNTTTATCTATAAGACATGTAAATTATCTGAAATTCAGCTCTTTAAAAGGCTTCCCAGCGATAAATATAACTTATAGCCCCATAAGTTGAGAGCGTAACAAACTGTAGTTTCATGGTGAAAGTCATATTGTATAGCATGACCTTTCTGTATACAATGTATACAGGCAAGCATTGTTACAAGATCAACAATAGAAAAGTTTGTCAACACTAATTCAAGGCCTTAGTTTTCTAATAATACACAACTGCATATTATTTTGATAACAACTTAATAATTAACTAGAACATTTTAATAACTACAGATTTTAATATATTTTATCGACATGCCTGACTGAGTTATGAGTGATATTGATAAAATTACCTAATTAAATAATTTGTTTGTGAAATACCCAATTATTTCCTGAATTCGAGCATGCACCTTTTTGCAGCCGATTCTCTAATATTTGTTTCTATTAAATAAAAAATAAATTTAAATAGACTGATGGTTTAGTAGTCAAACCTTAATGTCGAGAAAAACAGTGATGTCATTAACATTTCCATGGTTATGTGTAAAGAGAGCAATAGGGAAATATTTATATGTCAATTGATTGGCTGTTATCAATATGACCATGAAACGTTAAACAATATTAATGGGTACATGCATAAAGACTTCCATAGCATAGTGCGTATTTATGTATCCTTACATAGGTATGTAAATAAATATGATACATACCCTCTGTGGTGTGAAGATTGGCGCCATCGCATCCAGATCTGTCATAGGGAACTCCACTCCTTTAGTACGCAATTCGTTGTACACCTGCACTACGCCCTGTAAAAATTGACTTGTTTTTTATAAAAAATAATACAATAATATTTATAGCACGACACTCAAAAGATAAACACAATCTGGTGCTCCCATACCATGTCAATATTTATCAAGATTTTAATCTATTCAACCTACCCTACCTACCAAAATATGACTCATATTTTCAGTTGTAAAATAGTGCAATTCCATTATTTTTCCATATTATTATTTAAGGTGAGATAACAATCTACAACCTTCACATAACAAGCCTTTATGAAAAGTTCAAGGGTTTATGCCCCAACTGAGACAGAGAAATTAATCAAATAAGATCACAATTATAATACATACTGTCTTATTGACCATATACTAGTTAGTAGGCACTGATTTTTATCATTTAGGTATCATTATGAAAATCTAGAAATTCTTTGGGGATATCTTTGTCATTAAACAAACAATTTTTTAGTATATTACAGTAACACACCTGCAATTCAGGTTGGTTCTGGAAAGCATCGGCCCAGCATTGGATAAGGCTCAAGACTTTCTCTTGCACTACTGTTGGGGGATCATTTTTGGGGCCAATGAGTTTTACCTGAAAATAAAAAATATTCCGTTAAAACAATTCAATCATTTAGCTCCTACTTAACTCCTATGTATTGTAGCAACTACTTGATTATAAAAGCTAAATGTGTGAGTTTAGTTAAAACTATGGTGATTTAACTGCCATTTAATTAAAAGTTTATCAACAATAATTTTAAGTGTGGAGACACAAATGGGCCTTTTACTATCTCACATACCTGCATGAAAATGTGACTTTAATTGTTCTCCAACAACTAATCTACTAGAGAATGATATAATATCTATTTATGGTCAAAATAATTCAGTAGAGCCTACTGAAGATGACACCTACAGTAAATTATTGCATAATCTTACACAACTATTCCATTAAACTAAGAGAATTGGTCTTTAAAACCAGTTCTTATCATAGAAACTAGTTTTATTGCTCTTTATAGGTATTCGTCAACCTTACAAGGTTACATTCATAATACACAATACTTTGAATGGTGGCATTTCAATGGTTTTTACTGTGCTTCATAAAAACTATTTCATTGTAATTCAGACAGAAATATAAAGAAAATAGTTCAATTCAAGGCAAAATTAAAAGGCATCTTTAACATCTTTTGTCTGTTTTTATGTAAAATTCCAATATTTAATATCAAACATTTAATCAGATATAAACAAAGATACTGAGTCACGTTCATTGACACTAACATTTGTTTGATAACAATGTATTGTTAAGAAGTGACTTTGTGACAACGTCTGATTATGAGAAGGTACAAGGGCGATTTTTAAAATGGCAAGGTTTGTAAAGAACTGTTAATTTACAATGCCTAGAGGGAGTTATTTTAGCCGTACATTATAATAAACTAGGTATTCTTCAATGACTGAAAATTTTCGAACAAAGTATGTTTCAAAATTGAATAAAAATATACTCACCAGTTCAGAAATGAACTCCTTGTGACAAACCAGAGCATGGAAAGCCTTTCCACAATTTTTCACACAGGTCTCCAGAACAGTCAATGAGTACATGACAACAGTATAGTTCTTGCCAGCGCTTTGTGTCAACCGTTTCCTTATGGCTTTAACTGCATCCTTCGGCCCATCGGTACTGCTGTTTATTATATCACATATTTCCATATTAAGAGCCCAATTTTCGGAGGGTAACGAGCCATCTGTAGCTTGTTCTGCGAAAAAATAGTTTATTGGACTTTTCAATCAAAGGGTCAAACTAATATATTACTTTGCTTGCAATGACGTACAGAGCAATAAAAATTAAACCACAATATCTCCATAAACATAACTGCCTCTCTTTTTGTCTCCTCGAAGTAAATGATATCTCAATCAACAAAGAGAAAACCAGATTATATGGTGCGCAACAAAAATATTTTAGTGCTAGTCACGAGAAAAGACTTCCTTCCTCAATATTTTCCTCGAGAGGCTTTTTAAATTGAATAACTAGGTACACTTACCAATTTTTTGACCCACCGGCGTAGAAAAGGGATTTCCTACCCCAAAGAAGGACATTTTTACAAAATAATCAAAGAATTTATGAAAAAGATTTCACCGATTTCACTTGTCACCACAAAACTGACTGACGTAAAAACTAAAAATACAGATAAAAAAGATACCTGTCAAATTTTATCGATTAAATCGATTGTTTCAATTACAATCGTAACTTGATTAATTGAATCATGTGAATTTCAAAAATACAGGGTGTCACAGAAAAATGTAATAAGTTAGAGCTTTAAATGAAGTATACCCATAATTTTCTAACAGAACACGAACAAACTAGAAGTTATCTCAGAGAATCAACATGTTGCCAAAGAATGAAGAAATAATAAAATTGATAGAAAACCAACGTTCATCTTCCGAGAGGAGACCGGAGTAGACCTATAAAAGTAGCTCTTTACCATAACTACGTAGTAACTATGGTTACCTTGAATATTTGTCAATTAATAATAACAACAACAAAGCTTATTTCCTTGCACACTTTATTACCTACTATTCAATAATGGGTGAAAAGAAGAACTTAAATTGTTTAATTATACATCCAGACATCGAGCCAGGTGTTATAGACAATGCTATGCTTACGCGATGTATTTTGGAATACGGTAAGTTACTTCCGTACCCTAAGTTCGTACGTAACTTATTATTTTTATATTGCGTCCTTCCTTATAAGTAGCGTCGTGTCATATACTTATTACCTACCTTGTGATTAATAAATAGATAAATAAGTATCTCGTTAGAAGAATAGGTTCCTATTGAGATAGGTAGTTACCTACTAATGTTTTCATAACATAGGCCCCACTGAGGAAGCTGGAAGGCTGTTTGCTGAAGAAGGAGTCCACCTAGACGAAGCTCCTGTGGTGCGCCTTGAATTCCAAAACATTTTAAGAATAGACCATCTCTGGATGCTCACGTCTCTCACAAAATTGACTCTAGCCCATAACTTGATAGAAAAAATCGAAAACCTAGAGCAGCTGACCGGCCTCAATGAGTTAGATTTATCCTTCAACAAAATTGAGAAAATAGAAAATCTTGATGCGCTGGTGAACCTCGAAGTGCTGACTTTATTCCACAATAAAATCAGGAAGATGGAGAATTTGGATTGTCTGGAAAAATTACTCGTATTCAGTATCGGCGATAATTTAATTGAGGATTATAAAGAGGTAAGAGTGCACGCTACATGGTATGGGAATGATGACTGTAATACCGCTTAGCACTCCTCCTTGCCTCAGAAAAGCACTGAAGCGCCAAAAAAGGTGAACACCAGACCCCCGCAACACCTAGAGCTACTAAAATTAGCTACCTACCTACCACTTTCTTAGCTTACTTACTTACATCGTTTCTTTCGTTAACTTCTAGCATGATTTTGTATTATGTGTGCAGTTCATTATTTCAATTCTTTAATTCACACAGATGGCTTACATGCGCAGATTTCGAAAACTTCGTTCAGTGAGCTTCAAAGGAAATCCATGCTGTGATGACCCAATGGCTTATCAGTTTCTTAAATCAGCACTCACCAGAGTCACGTATTTGGATTACAAACTCGTCACCGAGGAAGAAAGGGAATATGGAAGGGCTTTATTCAGGTAAAAAAAAATATAGGGAGTTCAAAACGAGGCATCATTCATCGTCCACTTCTTTTCTAAACGTAGCTGACCGAAATTGGGTATGATCATAATAATATCATACCATCAGTAGGTACTTTCCACATAAAAATATTTATTAATTTGTACTCACAGAGGGCTGCTAAGAAAACTGGATGAACAGGATGAGAAATCAGAAAAAGAGAGACTCGCCAAAGAAGAATACGAGGCCAAAGTGGAATTCTACGCCCTTTCCTTCGTCGAGTATTTGAGTGGACCGGAGCTGTTGGAGTCAATGTTCGAGAAAGACCCTGACGGCTCGTTGCTGCTGCAAGTGGGCGGAGAACTTATAGGATTTTATGAACAGTAAATAAATTAATGTATTAAATATTAAATTTAGTTCATGGCTATTGCTTGATGCACCACCATTTCAAAATTTCAGATACAAAGAACAATACGTAGAAACGATGGCAGGGTTAGTGGAATTCGCACAAGGAGCCTATACTACTAGACAAAACGAAATCAAACTCTTCAAGGACCTTGTGGACAATGCCCTGGAAGACAGCGTTCAGAAGAGCAAAGAGTAAGCCCAGTGCCGTATTATCCTTATGGCACTTTAGGCCAGTGCCTAGGGGCCCACTACGGCCAGGGGCCCACTATGACCAGGGGCCCAGCACTCCCGATAAAAAAATGAAAAAAATAATTTTAAAGATTATTTTTATGGAACAAAACTCAGACCACCTCAAAACTTCGCCTTATTTTGGTTTACACATTCAATCGTCCTATTAAGATATTGTGGAACCTTATTAATTTTCGTGACGTTGGCATTACTGCTTTGGTTTACATGACAGGTCGACGGTCGACGCCCTTCAGAGGCTAAAAATCCTCACTGCGGAGGCTAGGGAGAGGGCTGAGGGTGTGTTGGCTGTATCATTCGATATAGCCAACGCTTTCAATACCATCCCTCATTCCACCATACTCTAGGCACTTCAACATCACAGAGTGCCTCAGTACCTTTGAGCGCTGCTGGCCGATTACTTACGGGACCGCGAAATCCTGTATGTTAACAGAGACGGCCAGCTCAAACGGCGCGGTGTAGCCAGCGGGTTTCCGAAGGGTTCGGTGCTCGGTCCACTCTTGTGGAACCTAGGCTTCAACTGGCTCCTCCGGGGCGTCCTTCTCGCGAGCATGAGTGTCACATGCTATGCGGATGACACTCTGGTCACTGCCCGGGGAAGACATTTCGGGCCGCGGAACGGCTGGCGTCGGCGGGCGGCCAGCGCGCCCCTCCCAACGCGTTGAGGACGTTAAGATTGACGTCAAAGGCCAAATGAAATATCTGGGCCTCACGCTTGACGGGAGGTGGCATTTTAGCCTGCACTTCAACGGGCTAGCGCCACGCCTCCTCAAGGCAGTCAGCGCACTGAGCGAGCGGGAGAACGATTCTCTCGCCCCATCGCTCCGCAGGTGGAGAAGGGGCCGGAGAAGGCGGTTGTACGACCGTTCTACTCTGCCCCCAGGTGGCGTCCAGCAGGCCGGGGGTGCGGGGGCACCCTTGTCACCTTCGTCTGACGGGAACGGCTTGGCGTTTCGGGCATTCCCGTCGGACTCCCACAAGGGGGGCGTGTAGGGTCCGCCGTGTAGGCGAGCTGTCGCTGTAGCGTGGTGTCGCGGAAGTCTAAGGCTACGGCTGGATACTCGCGACACCCCCACTCGGGCTACGACGGAACGCCGCGGGAGTCCCACACACCACCCTGTCCCCCGGCAGTGGTGACGGTGCGCAAAGCATTTCCTCCGCGACAAAAAAAAGGGGGGCCCAAAACGAGCTGTGCCTAGGGGCCCCGAGATGGTTAATCCGGCCCTGAGTAAGCCATCCTTATCTACGGGGATAAGCCCTAGCGCGCTGTGCTATTTCAGTAGTAATTCGGTCGTTTTAACCAAATGACGTCCACCTACTTAGATATGCTTCCCCAAGGATTTCCACAAAGACAGGCCTACGCTCTTACCGTATCCAGTATTTTCATTCACCGAAATGTCGCGCAGAGAATAGACTCACCTGATTGCTGATTGATTTAAATTGCATTCCAACAGTGTTGTATCAAACTTCGAAGCAAAGAAGAAACCGTTAGTAGACCAGATGAACGAGATAATCCGCAAGTTTACCTCTAAGCAGGCGACGATAGAACAGCTCGAGCCCCAGTTGATGGACTTGGGGGAAGCGTTTAACGACGCGTTGTACGAACTGTGGAAGAGCCTGATGAGTATTGAAATGCAGCTGTATGAGAGATGCGAGGTAACTAGGTACCCTAATTGAATCTATTTATTGTACAAGAAAACCAACGTCATAACATGTAAGTAGGTAGGTAGTTTGGTGGACTTTACATAATTAAACAGGAAATGACTTAGGTATTCAGGCACAAGTACAATTACAGAAAAAATAAATTCGCAAATGACCTTCGCACTTTAACACTTGTCATGTCTTCATGTATTAACTATCTCATAACATAACATTAGCGTGGTTATGAGTATTTTACTTATCTACTAATATAAGTACCTACCTACTAGGTAGGTACCTACCCACTACTAATATAAGTATTTAAAACGTTTCACCCATAACAACAGAATAAGTAGATTTTTCAAATATTAAAATGATTGATTTCACAGGAGTCCCGAGTCCAGTTCTCGGTGAACATGACAGAAATGATTACGAAGTTGATGGAGGTGTCTCGTAATGCGTTCGGCGCGTGGCGGGAGAACGAGGGCGTCTGGTCGATGAGGCAGTTCGAGTCACTGTCCAAGCTGCTGGGCAACAAGATCATGCTGGGCGATGCACCGCCGGAGCTCTTTGAGGTAGACATTTCTAGCCCTCTAGAAAAGTAGCAAAATGTGACACTTGTAATTTCTAAGCCTAGGTGCAGACCACCGACTTTTAGTCGGCCGATAGTTGGGCCCGATTCTAATTTGTATGAAGAATCAATCAGTGTAATGTGCGCACTTCCATACATGCCCAACTAAACTATCAGCCGACAAAAAATCGGTGATCTGCGCCTAGGCTGCCCTTCACGGGCGAATTACCTAACTAACAAAAAATGCCTTAGCGATGGGATTTCAAAATTACAACTGTCTTTTGTCACTTGTTGCGGCTGAATAACAAATTCTGACAGGTTCAGGTTGCTTGTTTAGAATCGAGCTAAGATTCTGAACAAACATCTTGTAATTCTGCAAACATCCTGTGATCAGTAATCGTAAAATGCTGATTTGCATCATAGAAAAACGAAATTTATTCGTAAACAAGATGTACCTAGTATGTAATGCATTGAAATGAAACTCACCTCCTCCTTCACCCTGTCTAGACACTTGCGAAAACTTTCCACGGCACAACCTCACGTTGTGACGTCCATTACACTTTTTTGACCTTAAGAATGATGAAAGTTCGTATGGCTGCAAGCGTAAGACATTCTTTTACTTACATCACCATCAAATTCATAGATAATGAT